GTATAGTACAAGGAGAACAAAGGCTTGCCGCTAATGTAAAAAAAAAATTATTTCTCGTGCTTGGCTGAATCATTATTTTTTAAAAAAATTGACCTTAAAGTTCTTATACAATAAGGTATACGACTCCAATAAACATGTCTCGATCTTTCGAAAGAGTGAGATCCACTTGGTTTTGTTGGAAGGGGATGAATAATAAAAGTAAATAAATAACAGGGTTGTCAACCTCATGTTAAGAAACAAGCATAAATGTCGAAACACTTGCATCACAACCCAATTATTTGGATGCAACTGTGTCAATGCAATATTTAATATCCAAAGCACAATCATAAAAAAAAACTCATTGAATGACAAAGTTATTCTGAGGTCTTGGAATAAATAGTCCTACACATTGAAAAACAAATGATATTTATAGTTCCCTTGACCCAAAAATATGAAATGCGGGTTCAATCCACCGTCATTCCGACACGACTGAAGAATAATCGAAAACGATTCCTTAGTAGTTCTGAATTTGATGAACTTCTCGGATGTCTATAGAAGCCTTATCGATTCCTTATCATTGTACCAGGAGTAAATGTTGGTGACTTCTCCATCTACCCACTCCTAACCATGAATGGTTATAGGCAAATATTTTTGACTCGTCGCTACACGTGCCATTCAACGAGGAAGACCATCCAAAACGATGACGAACGACTCACCAACTTTGTTCACCCTCTACTTGACTATTTGTACTACTTTGTCATTTCCTAGAACATTCGAGATCGAAGTAGAGTCACTATACAGAGTTAACAATGACAACAAGTTCATATCAATTTAAGACAACAAACCACTCGAAACTCACAAACCTCAACCACGTCCCCATGAAAATTGAAAATTGAAACATACCTTGTTGAAAGTTTACTTGGCTCTAATCTCGGCTAGTTAGAGCAAATCTAAAGAACGTGAGGACGACTTTAGTTCACCTCCTATTTATAGTTATCATCGTGTGGAACCCTAATCGACATGACCTTTCCCAACTATTGGATTAAATTAAATCTAAGGGCTCACAAAATGTGACTCTTCAACTCTCAAAATACAACATCTCAAAATTAAGGGTCACATCTGTTACACTTTTTAAGAACAAAATTATCATCCACTTATCCTTTTTTACCATTTTCATTGCTTCGCTCCTTAAGACTAATTAGGGGCTTATATATCAAACAAACACCAAAGGACATGTCTCCATCTCCTCTTCGGACACTTTGGCCATCGAGATGGTCGATAACAACGCTAATCAAAGAATGTAATACACTACTATCATATTCTCAACCAACTCAACAGTTGAGATAGTTGAAATGATCATGCTACACAGTGTAGCAAAAACAACACTACAATTGATATTAAGAAACTACATTGTTGTCTCGGTCTCAACAATTCCAATGCTTGATATGGCTTATGTCCTTACGCTACATGGATTTGTTGTTATGAAACGATATCATCAACAACATAAGTAGCCAAAACAATGTAGTAGGTTTATCCTTATACCCACATCTAGTCTAGGAAGGCCTTGACATTCTCGACTGCCAAGCAAGCCGAGATGGTGAGATCGTTAGGTCATAAGAGCACACTACAAGTTATCTAACTAATAAAAGAAGCAAACAAGATTAAGAGGTTAATATGTCATTAGCAATTACATTACCTAATTGGTAATTAAGAAACAAATCCTACCAAACTCAAGCTTATTATGATCTGTATAAATAACTATCTAAAATGAGGTAAAACTATTGTTCATTTATTGTTATCCTAGATACTTGAGTTTGTTTTGACTTAAATATCAAAGTGTCTTTTACAAGTATTCCTTCCTTTGAAATTATCGATAAATCAAAAAATTCAGAATTTGATATTAGAAATTTACCATTATTCCTTGAATAGATAAACTTTTAATGTGAATATAATAATAATAAATATTTAAGAGGGTCCAACATTGTTATTTCTGGCAATTTTCAAAGAAAAACAACAAACCCTTAGGACAAACACACACGTATGGGTGGTATAAGTTAAAAGCATAATAAACAAAACAAAAATAACATTTCAAAGCTCATTGTTTAGTTTAGTGGCATTCTGAATTAATTATAAATAATGGTTTCCAACTAACCCAAAGCCTAGCTCCCACCCCTCTACTTTATCGCTCCGCCTGCAACACTGCAAAGACCTACATTTGTAAATAAGAAATGAATAAAGCCATTGTTATATTTATTATTAAATTAAATCATTATAATATGAAACTTGTTTTCTTTTTCTTTTGTTTTATTGGTTATTTAAATGGTTGAGGGTTGTCTTAGTAAGACGACAATATGATGGCTTTACAGGTTGGCAAAAGACCTTGCATCCTTACCCTTTTTCTTTCTTTCTTCGTGCATTATTTCCAGCTAGCAACCAAAATCATCATAAAATAAGCAAAATATCATAGAAAAAACAAAAGAGATGTTTATATTGGCTACTCACAGCGGCAAATCTAACCAGGAGCATCAGAAATTGTAAGAAAATTATATATATGTTTACAACTTACAAGTATTCGTTTATTATAAGAGATAATTTTATTGAAATTAAGCAAGACAAATATGATTTTTTTTCTCTCTAAGTATGTAAGACAATTATATACTCAATTTTTTTCCTTGAAACAGCTAATTAACTTAGAATATACTCATGTTAGACGATGATCCACACACTTCAACTATTTATAAAACCTTGGGTTACTCTCTAAAATTCGATGGTATTTATTTTTATCTTTTAAATTTAAAATTAATATTTTTAATTTTTTAATTAAAAACTTATTTTAATCTCTTAAAAATATTATAACATCACAACTAGTAAACAAATTAAATTAATCTTATAATATCAATTGAATTTAGTGTGATATTTTTATTAATAATAATACTAATAAATAAATTTTATCTAACAAATTTAGTAATAGGTGAATTTTATAAAACAGTTTCACTATGAATATTTGAAGAAAAGAAATAATTTTTTTAATTAAGATAAAAAATTAAATTTGAGAAAACAAAATCAAATTTAACTCATAAAATATATGTATATAAATTATCGGTCTATATTAAATATCATTAATTTTTAAAAGTGACCAAAATTCAATAAATATATACATTATGCATTATTAAATATTATAAAAACAAAAAGGAATATAACTCCACTTAACAAATCTTATAATTTGTTACTATTTATTAATATATATTTTTAATATATATAATATCTAATAATGTGATGTATATATTTTTTAAACTTTAGTCATTTTGAATAACATAAAAAGAAAAATATATAAAAGATAATAATATTTAATATATGTAAGAAATTTGTATACCTAGAAATTAAAAATCTATTTAAACCTTATATTATAAATTAATCAAAATATCATTATAAAATTTTGTTTTTTCTTTATATTATTATAACCATTCTGAAATAAATTGTCAAATGATTGGCATCATAGCACTTGAAAATTTCAAGAAAATTAACTTATATAACTAAACAAAATTCTAATTTCAAACATGAACAAACTCGAATCGTGAAAGTTAAAATTAAAAGCAGTATAAGTCATTAGAGTTTTATAAACTCGGCTGCAATAACACTTAAAAAAAATATGAACGGAAAACAAGAGCAACATAAAAATTAAATAAATAATATATTACCTTAAGTAAAAATAAAAATAAAAATAAAAAAGGTACATTTTTTTACAGCAAAATAGAGAAATCAACAACAGCCACACATATAAATCACAAACTTCACGTTATCTTTCAGTAAAATAAGATATTTTGTACCCAAATATCTTACGGCGAGGGTAGAAAAAGTAAAGTTCAAATATCTATTTGATCTTTATTACACAGTTTCATAAAATTTTAATTTTTAATTCTCATACTTAGATTATTTTATTTTAATTTTTATGCATATTGTTTTTCTTTTTCTTTTAATCACTATTGCTTATTTATTATAAAATAAAAAAATAAAGTTTATAAAATTATGAAGACTAAAAACTAATGTATATAAAAATTTAAAATGAAATGCTTTTAATTATTGAGATTAAAATAATAAAATTCATAATATTATACAAAAAAATTCAAATAAATATTTAAGCCATAAGTAATGAGTATTTATAATGAAAAAAAAATTAGAAAATAAACCGGTAGTAGATTTTCTTAATTATTTTTTTTTTGAGTTGGAAAATGAAAAGAAACCAAAGAGAAAGATGTCAGAAAATGGTTGGGAAAATATTGTGAATTTATGAAGTTCATAGCAAAAGATAGGATAATATTAAAAATGTTAAATCTATTTTAACATTACTAGTTTCCATAAGAAGAAAATATTCAGACCTGTGTTCCACGTTGCTGTCACGCGGCTCCGCCGCTGCCTATAGCTACTACATTGCCAAATCTTAATATTCAACAAATAATTAATTTTACTTTTTTTTTAGGGGAAATAATTAATTTTACTTAAACGCTAACTATTTAAAAACGTTCATGACATTTTTTTTTATCACCTATTAATTTATTTTACGAATAACATTTCATTCATAAATTTTTTTATTAATAAATTATCAATCAAAATTTCAGATCTAGTTAGATTTTATGAGTAGGAGTATTTAACACCTATAGGTAGTAGTGAAACTGAAAATTTCTTAAAAAGAATTAAAATATATTTAAAAAAAATGAGAAATAGAAGTTAGTTGTATTACACTTCATAATATTCGAAACCCAACTGTATCCTCTCGTTTCCTTTCTCTCTCCGTCATTATCCTTCCTTAATTTCAATTTCAATCCTCCGAGATTCTCGCTTCCCCGTTAACCCTCTCAGGAATGAAAGAACCAATTATTTAAGTATTTTATTTAACTAATAAAACTACCAAAATGCATTTTCTTTTCCATTTATTTAATTACCTGGTAATAATTTAAGAAACCGCAATCGCAACACATTAATATTGCTACGACAGCGTTTTGGTTTTGGTACGTGTCTATACTTGATAAGTCTCCTCACACACTTTATTAGACTCTCTCTGACTTCACACAAACCGCAACCTCAGAAGCCGCAATGGCCAACCGCGACCACACGCCGGAGCTCCTCTGTCTCGTCCACGACATCGCCGGAATGTGCGCCGGCTCCTCCTCCGTCGCCGCCGTCTTCCGCAAGGACTGCACCGATCTCGTTCGCCGGATCTCCCTCCTCACTCACTTGTTCGAGGAGATTCAGGAACTCAACGACGTTGTCGATTCCGATTCCGCTTCCGCTTCCTCGTCGTCTTCGTCTTCTTCTTCTTCTTCTTCCGCTTCCGCTTCTGCTTCTTCCTGGTCCTCCGATCTCGTCCTCGCTCTTCACTCCGCTCGGCGCTTGCTTTCCGTCGCTAGAAACTTCCGCTCCAATTGTTCCTCTGTGAGTTTCTCGATCCGTTAAAACGCCACCGTTTCGAGAGGGTTCTACTTTCTAAGTTCTAAGTTATAACCTCCAGCTCCGACGTCGTTTTGCTCGGTTTTTCTGTAATTTAGATCTGTAGTTCACTCGCCTGAAACTGCCGTTATCATTGTGCTTGGTGAAGTTTCGCTGCATTACTTTATGTATAACCTAAACGGCATCGTATTGAAAAAGAAAAACATCTTTAATTTGGTGGAATATAGTTAGTGTTGATCAAGCTCAGAATGAAGCTCCATTGTTATTTGTGAGGATAGATTTGTAGTTTTTTTAGGATTCGAAACTTTGCTTAGGTATGTTGTGCAGATGGGTTTGGTGCGTTCAATTGAACCGCAATTTAGGAACTGAAATGCTTTTCCAATTAGGTTACTCGTTGCGTTCTTTATGTTGTTTCGTTGGCTGGGATTGTTCTTCTGTTTGGTGTTTTTGTGTGTTTTATGATGTATTGTTCAAATAGAGATGCTTTTGCAGTTGTCAAATAATTTGAGTTGGAATCTCACGAGGGTTGAATTTTAATGTGTATGTGTAAAAGGATGTCTGTGTGCGTCTCTGAAATTTGATGTATCTTGATTTAAGGATGGAGCTGCCAAGACCATTGTCTTCCAATTTCAGTGTGTCACGTGGAAATTGGAGAAACTGTTGAGCAATTTGCCGTATGACAGTTTGGACATCTCGGAGGAAGTCAAAGAACAGGTAGAATTTGGATAAATGGTGTTTTTTTTTTTTAGTGTTGTTAATTTTATCTACAGTTTGCTTGAGTGAATTTGCTGATATTATCTGCTTTTGTAGGTGGATTTGGTGAGAGCACAATTGAGACGAGCCACGGAAAAATACGGGTATATGATTTCAAAGATGCCTTCTCATGAGTTATCCCAGCCGCTGGCTGAAGAAATTAGTCAGGTTCTTGGCAAATCTGTGAATGGATTGTACAAACAACATAGCTGTCCGGAAAATTTATCAGAACTAGACAGCATTCCTGAAAACAATGGGCAGAAAAGTTGCAGCACACATCGGGCCGGATCTCGCTTGGAAAGAGCAAGGAGCATCCCTGCTTCTTCGGAAGTTTCCTTAATGAATGCCACTGATCCTGAGAGTCAAGAAATTTCTGAGACAAAGAATCTACCTGAGGTTAAAAAGCCTGAAGCAATTGTGATTCCTGAAGATTTCCTCTGCCCTATATCCTTGGAGCTAATGAGGGATCCTGTTATTGTGGCGACCGGTCAGGTAAGTTCATCTGAGATGTTGCATCAACACAAGAAACATTCCTGCAAATTTTCTCGCTCTTCTAAATTTCCTGCCTTTTGTTATTCTGCAGACATATGAAAGATCCTACATACAGAGATGGATAGATTGTGGAAATACAACATGTCCAAAAACTCAGCAGAAGCTCCAACATTTGACCCTTACGCCAAATTATGTTTTAAGGAGCCTTATTTCTCAGTGGTGTATAGAACACAACATTGAGCAGCCAACAGGACTAACTAATGGAAAACTAAAGAAGAGTGATGGATCGTTCAGAGATGTTACAGGTGACATAGCAGCAATTGAAGCTCTAGTCCGGAAGCTCTCCAGCCGGTCTGTTGAGGAGCGTAGAGCAGCTGTTACTGAAATTCGATCTCTATCCAAACGAAGTACTGACAATAGGATACTAATTGCTGAGGCTGGAGCAATTCCAGTTCTAGTCAACCTTTTAACTTCAGAAGATGTATTGACGCAAGACAATGCAGTTACTTCAATTCTCAACCTTTCCATATATGAAAATAACAAGGGACTCATAATGCTTGCTGGTGCCATTCCATCCATTGTCCAAGTTCTCCGAGCTGGAACCATGGAAGCAAGAGAAAATGCAGCAGCAACCCTTTTCAGCTTGTCACTTGCAGATGAGAACAAAATAATAATTGGGGCTTCAGGAGCTATACCCGCTTTGGTAGAATTGCTCCAAAATGGGAGCCCAAGAGGAAAGAAGGATGCAGCAACAGCTTTGTTCAATTTATGCATTTATCAAGGGAACAAGGGAAGGGCCATTAGGGCAGGGATCATCACAGCTTTGTTGAAGATGCTTACAGATTCAAGCAAATCAATGGTTGATGAGGCCCTAACAATAATGTCAGTTCTAGCCAGCCACCAAGAGGCAAAAGTTGCTATTGTAAAAGCCAGCACTATACCAGTTTTGATAGATCTTTTGAGGACAGGATTGCCTCGCAATAAAGAGAATGCAGCTGCTATTCTACTTGCTTTGTGCAAGAGGGATGCCGACAATCTAGCTTGTATAAGTAGACTTGGTGCTGTCATACCTCTCACTGAACTTGCGCGAAATGGTACAGAGAGGGCCAAAAGGAAGGCGACTTCATTATTGGAGCATCTTCGGAAGTTGCAGCAACTTTGAATGGTGTAGTTCTGCAAAGAACTTTAAGTTTCTTATCTTCTCTCATTATTTGACATAATTTACCACACTGCGGTTTGCAAACTGATCATACGAGGGTGAAATAAGAAAAGTCAGCCTCATTGATTCAGTTATTCTTTACTTGGTTTGTTCTTTTTTAACCCATGTATGAGCGTGTAAAGAAATCAATTGATATATTGTTTCCTTATTAAATTCTTACAGAAGTTTCCGTTTTCCTGTTATTTGACCTGTCGGCCTGTTGAAATTGTTAACTGTATGATGAGCATCTAGCCCTTGTGCTACTGACTGTAACTAAATCTGGACCGTGCCAGAATTATGGCTCTGTTTGAATCTCAATAAATGTATTCAGTTTTAACATTGGTTCTCCCCAGAAAGATAAATCGACATCATTTTTTTTTTCCACTTTTCCCCTAATCAAATCATGAAAGTGGAATATGGAAAGAAAAGGAGAAGGAAGTTTATATGAATACATTAATTCAGATAATATTTTCCTGCAATGCTTGTTTCGAGTAATTAGGCAATCTAATGGACCAAACACCATGAGAACAGAGTTCAGTGACTAATCCCCAACACTGCAGGTAGCAATTAAGCTCTATCACTTGACATATGAACAATTGAAAGTACCTAAAAATTATCCAAATTGCCATTATATAATCCGAACTATCTGTAGTTTTAAGAGCCGCCACTCGTTTCCATATGCAACATGCATACTGATGTTTGTACTGGTCAAGGATAGTGTTGTCTAGAATCAGCTACCGGATTGGCCAAAAATGAGTAAGCATGTGTTTGATTTCACCTTGAGTCATCCAAAATTGTGTTGAAATATAAGCTATAGCGATTTAAGGTACGTGTTTACATGTCTTGTCTTATGTTGGAAAGTTGATTCTGAGTCTAGAAATATTTTGAACTGAACAACTTTAGGTAGTTTTTGAGTTGAATAAAAAAAATTCATACGGAGTATTGTCATCCAGACAGGGTGACTGAAGCTCCCTTCTTCCTCATGAGTTCATAAATTTAATTCCTTTACAATCTTTGGAGCACAGGACGATGAGGCATCAAGCAATTTAATCTGTATTTTTTTTCTTATTAACTTCTTAAAAATATGTAAATAAGTCAATTTTAACTTATGAAAAAATTTATTTAATTTTTTTCCTCTTAAAAATACTTTTAAGAAATTTATCCAAACAAAGTCTATAACCGTTCATGCCGTTGCTCTAAGCCATTTAGGTTGCTTTTCATGATTTTATGCTAGGATTACACCCTTGCACAATTCTTCTATGACTTGTTTTCCATTCTTGGGTTCGTGCTATTCTTTGATCCTTCAAGGTGCAATCATTGAGTTTACTCTCTCTGAACCATTGAGATTTGATGGGGAATTAAAAAAGGAATCATCCTTGAAATGAAGTGATGGGGTCAACACGAGATCTGGCATAGAACATCTGGCGCATTTACTTCAACTAGAAGTCATCTTTGAATCAATCAGCAAGGAAGCAACTGGATCCAGTTTATCAGGAAAAGTCCACAATATAGGAGTGGTATCCAATCATGGAAGATATTCAGATTCCTTCTCCAAGCCTATGCAAATAAATTTTAAAATTAGTCTCTACAATTATGCTTATTAATCCTTTTAGTTCCTAAAATTATAAAAGTAAAATTAGTCCTTAATTTAACAACTTTAATCTCTAATGTCAAAGATCAGTCAATTTAACCCCCTTTATATTTTGACAACTATTAGTTATTTTGACTCTTAACTTTGGTGTGCATCACTTATTTTAGTTTATAACATTGGTGATCCGGGATTAAATTCATGGCTATTAAATTTAAGGACTGATTGATTTACTAATATTAGATATCAAATTGATGAATGGTATTAATTTTATTGAAAAATGTTAACCGGTGTCTTTAATAAGACATTGGTTAAAAAATTAAAAATAAATTTGTATTGATAAGTATAACAACAAATTCTTCATGTAACTTTATTGTACATTTTAATATAAAAGAATCATATTGTAATTCCTTAACCAGATCTTAAGAAGACCCCAATTTTACAAATAAAATTGATTAACAGTTATAAAAATCATAACTAGATTTACCTTTTTATGGTAATGAAAGACTAAATAACCGATGCTTATAATTTGTCTTGAACTGATATGTATTTATCACTCCACTTATTCATTGCCAGTTTGCCTTGGATTATGCCGACAACCATTTTAAGTTGCAAGATCGAAGGCTATGTTGCCTAAGATCTACCTGGTTCCTTGATGGATCTTCCACCGGTTAAGGTGTCAGAGCCCTTGTAATTTGCTTACTGTTTTCACCTTGCTACAAAAGGTTCTATTCATTTATTTTATCAACTAGTCACAACGTGCATGATCTTGCAATGATGGATAGCACATAATAACCTTTGAATAAAATATTATCTTCAATTGACTCTATGTCTAATATTATATTATTTACTTTTATTACTAAGAGTACTTTAAACTTGAAGAATGGAGATCAATTATTTTTCAACTTAAACAAAGGAAATCGATTATATTTTATAAAATAAAATGAACTAAACACAGATATATTCTTAGATAAAAACCATATACTTGAAACATAAGATCAACATTTTACAAATGAAAAAAAAAAAAAAAAACAAGCATCTGAATCAGCATTCAACATATGCAAAACAATGTTTCTTTGGGTATATGCATTTAGGATGACTTTGCACGTGTAGCATTCCCTATGCTAGATGCTAGCTAACAGTGTTGATGTAATCCTTAGGTCGGCAACGGCAATTGAGCTGCAATTTACCACATTTCTTCACCGACCACTCGAAGAAATCATGAAACTGAGACGAACTTGCCTGGAAATGATGAAACAAGAGAAATAAAAAAGTGCTACCGCACAAAATTTAAGGTGTTTTCACGCTTGAATTGAAACTTGAAAATTTTCGTATATCGCGTAAAGGGCAGTCACATCGAACACTTCCCTTCACCGATTTGCGAATTTTTTTAGTAAATAAAATTTTTAAAAAATAAAATTACAAAAATACCATCGGTTACACTTTACACAATACTCAGAATTCGGTTCTCCGGGAACCGAATTCTGAACTTCAAAATTATTTTTTTTTTGGGGATCAGAATTCTTGTTTTCAAATTATTTCTTTTATGCGTTTGTGGCCTAGTGTGCACGAATCTTGGAAGTGAAACGAGCTGTTCCGGAAGCAGAACGGCCCATTTTGCTTAAGCACATAGAGTGTTATTTTTGAAATTGGAACGGGTGAAGAACGGGCTGTTTCAATTTCAAAAGTAACATCCGGAACGGCCCGTTCCACTTCCAAGATTCTCTTAGACTGGACCACAAACGCAAAAAAAAAAAAAAAAATTAAAAACAACTCAGAATTCAGTTCCCCAATAACTGAATTCTGATCACAAAAAAAAAAACTGAAACTCAGAATTCGGTTTCCGGAAAATCGAATTCTCAGTGTGAACAGTAATCAGTGTTAGTTGTGTAAATAAAGTGTAACAGATACTATTTTGGTAATTTTTTTTTTTTAAAAATTCTATTTACGTTAAAAATTCCCCATTTGCGGCCTTTTATTTTTAGTTTTTTTTTCTCTCTTATAAATAAAAAAAAAATCTAATTTTATATATATTAAAAATTTAATTAAAGAATAAAAAAAATAAATATTTTAAAAAATTATTAAATAAAATGAAAGTAGTTAATATTTATTTATTTTCGAGAATAAAAAGTGTATCATCGTATCTTTTCTCGCTTATAATAATAAAACAGGAGAGTACTATGCAAGTCCCGTGGAAGCCAACTAGCAATACAAAGTTAAAAATCAATTTAAGAATTTTATTTTAATATTTTTATGTGAAAAATAAGACAATACCAGTATTTGTTTAAAAAAATAGAGAGATAATATTATATACCCGCTTATTATCTAAAAATATTATTAAAAAAATTGTATCATTTAAAATTGATCACACAAGGCATTAACTTTGGGTACAAATAGGTTTAAGAGTCCTAATTTTTAAGGTAATGTTGGGAGTCATTTTTAGTTTAAAGTTTTAATATATATTTTTACATTAAAATCAGTTTTTAGTATTTGATTTTGTCGTTTTAGTTTAATTGTTTTGGATTTTAAGAAATTGTTATCAATTTTGCAAGTTTTCTTTTTAGTATTTGATTTTTAGTTTAAAGTTTAATAAAAAGATATGTGACTATGATGAAATTGCGACAATTTGAAGTGGGAACAGATTGAAATGAATATATATATATAGAGAGAGAGTTAATCACTTATACATTTTCAGTGTAAAATTTTTTTACACTGGCAATCAATTAGATTTTTTAATTGTGTCATGTCTCTATAAACACATTTACTTTTAACAGTGACATAACACAATTAAAAGATCTAATTGGTTGTCAGTGTAAAAAAACTTTATACTGATAATGTATAGGTGATTAACTCATATATATATATATATATATATATATATATTACAAGTTTTACCGTTTAATTGATGATTAATGGGTGGGTAAAAGTCTAACTCAATAAAAAGTAATGTACAATAAAAATAAAACCTTACTACTTGCAAAAATTTTAAATCTTAAACCCTAAACAAGTATTACCCATAAAATAGAGGAAAAAGAGATAATACAAACTCATACAAGACACAACGATTTTTAATTGAAAAAAAACTCTTGATGTAAAGATAAAAATCATAAATCATCTAGAATAAAGAAAACTTCCACTATGATCAACAAAAGAATATAAAAGAGTCTCTAATGGATGCACTAAATAATGTTTATAATCTGTCAAAACAAACCAAGCACAATTACTCACAAATGAGAAATAAGATGAAAAATTCCCAAAACAAAGTTGCTAAGATAAACATTGTTTCTCTCACTTTAGACCTTTTTTCGGCAATCCAACAATTGAAAATAAAGAACCGCCTCTAAAGAACCTTCAATTTATTCTATCTACATGCCAGCTTCATCCAATGATGAACAAACTTAGGGTTATAATCTAAAAAGTGCTACCTAGTGGAAATGCAAAAATGCACAATGGTTTTCTCTCTTCTCTTCTCTATGTGTTTGTTGCCACTCTCTCAAGAATGAGTCTTACTCTTAATACTAATCTAACACCTCTCACTTGGTTAAGTGAGACATAATGGATTTACACATTTGAATTTATTCTCCACATAGGAAGGGGACTCAAAACTCAACAAATCTCTTCCCACAACTATTTCGTTCAAGTTTC